GGCTGCATAACATGTTTCAATTACCTTTTTATATCAATTTAACAAACTTAGTAGATACATAAACATAAGTGATTTGGTAAAGATTGGGAAGAACTTTTACCAGAGATCAGTTAAGTCAGTCGAAGGTCCCAAGATTTTACAATCACAATTGAATTGGACAAATCAGTCTTCACGACCTTGAATAATTTATATAAGTATTGAAATATCTTCGTTTGCCAATAGATTATAACATTTTATACATGGTTACGATTTGCGTACAAATTAAAACAATCCTCTTGATTTGAACCTTTGAGCGAATATTATTTATTGTGATGTCACTTCCTTCTTCGGCTAAACTAAGGTCAGTTAACCCATGGTTAAGAAATCCGTACAAATTAAAACTATGTTCCTGATTAATTATGCATGGCGATGAAGAATTTTCAAGCTGATACTATTTATTGTGATGGCACCTTTTCTAAATATCTCAAAATTATTAAATGTGTCATAATTCCTTCTGTGACTGAATTATAGATATCATTTTATTTAACATTCGGTATTGATCTTCGAAGAAAAATAATTAAGTAGCCAAATAGGTCAAAAATTAAATAAAAAAATGTTGAAGTATGAAGTATTCATACTTTGCATCCGTTTCAAATTTGATATTTGGTTAATAATGTAAATCTAGGGCGGTTTCTTCTATTTGGTCGAAAACTACTTTGAGTAGTTCACAATCATAAAGACATAAATGTCCTTGACTGGATTGGAACTAACTTCTATTTGGATGTTCCAAATAGTTTGGCATCACAATGAGCATTATAAATCACATTTCCTTTTCCTTGTCATGTGTGACTTTTCAACAAATAGACCAAGAAAATTGTAATGTAAATAAATCATAATTACGGAGACTATCGAAATCAAAATTGTATATGAAATACTGTCCATTATACACTAAATCCTCGTGTTATGCATTTGTCTCAATCGAAGTTAATTCCTTCCATGACTATGCTTCTCTTCAAATATTCATATCGTCTGTCGTATTCAAATAAATGAGTCATTATAGTAAATATTAATCATATTGCTTGCTATCTTGTTTCACTTCCAAAAATACTTAATTGTTCTGGTTCCGATAGATTCAATTTGGTTATTATATTATCGTTAGTTATTGTTGAACCTCAATAATAGTGGTTTTACTTCAATTCAGTCATTATCTCTTGTTTCATGTACTTAATAATTTTTCATTCTATTTATAATTCTCCTATTACCATAATTTATTATCTTAACATTTCCTATTATTTTCTTTAAAAATTTCATTTTCTTTTCTTAGTTATTTATTTTATTTCCAAATTTGTTTTGTTAGCATTCAACAAGTTTCTTCGTGACTGCTATATATTTTAACTAACTTTACATATTCAAAGACTAAATCACACATTATTTAGTTTTATTATCACAACATTGATTTCGAAAAAAATCACAATTCAAGAAAACTACCGACAAATTTACGATACATTACATACTGCATTATTAACGCGTTGGTTTTTTTAGATTTATTTTTGCTTAACAAGAAACTCATGAGCGAATAAAATTATATGTAACATAGTAGCACACGTAACTAAACAGCTCAATATCATCCGGACGATTTAAAAAATAATTTAAAAAAATGACACATTCTAACAATTTTCTAGATTTACTAAAACACGAGTTATGCTTTTTATGTAGTGGATTGGCATGCAACACTCTACCAAATAGAAATAAGAAAATTGAAAAAAAAAACAATTATTCAAATTTAATATATTTACCAGGAAGTAAATATCTTTCAGCTTATGTTTTCAATACAAAAGCTTTATATTTTTTAAATTCAAGATATATAACTTGATGTTGCCTTCTACAATTCTAGTATTCTATTTACATGTTTTGGATTTTGAGTTCTCTACATGGTGCACCACTAGTGCTACAACCTGGTAATACTTTAATTGCATGTATTACCTTGATAAGATTTCCATTAAAAAAATTGTCATAGGAGTTATTGTTTCACTCATCTTCAGTTGAATTTTGGACAAATAATGAAATTCTTCGCGTCAAACAGGCAGCCTGCATGGGATGACGTAATTTACGATAAGGAGGATAAATGTGGACATATACCTTGTTCGTGAACTCTTAATGCCCAGAAAACAAACTATTTCTCCATTGAAGGTTCATAAAATGATTAAGGGGTGTAAGCCCCTTCCTGATACTGTGAAATAGTAAAAATTGTTACGGGGAGGTGTATAGCTACATCTTCAAATTATAAACTAATAAAAGTATATGAAGCGAGGGCAGAGTTCACATCCTGTGTTGATAGTGAACAAGAGAAAAACGAACAAATAGAGGATAGCCCCAATATAGAGAAAGATACATTATTTAATATCTTTATATCATATCATTCAACAAAACATTCATGTTAATATTTATTGCAGAAGTAATATGTGAAATTGAACATGGAGAAGTAGAGGAGAGTCCCAATATGGAGATGGGTACATTATTTAAAATTTATATATTTAAACTATTTATTAAAATCTTTTAAATTCCAATAAACAAATTCATTCGTCTCAATATATATGTAGCAGAGAACAAGTTGGATAGTATCGTAAACAAACTATCCAAATTATCCTTTGAAATTAATGAAATGACGAAGGACATAAGGGAGCTGTTGTCCTATGAGAGGGATTCCGGTCACAGGTAATCCGGTCACAGGTAATTATAATTAATGTCAAGTTGTTCAGCTGCGATGGACGCCTAAAATACTGAACCGATTTAAAATTTGTTTTGCTCATCGTGTACATGTGGATTCCATTTAGGCGGTGGGGTATATTAAATATCTCAATTTATAGCCAAAATTTTATATTATATGAAAAATATTTTGACGTTTCTCCGATAAATCCTAGAATCACAGAATCAGTTTGAGCTCTGGCGAGAGTCTAGAAAGTCTAGACCAGTGTATCCCAACGTGGAGCGCACGCGCACCGGGGGGCAAATTGTAAATTCAGGGGGACAATTTGAAAATTCTGGATACTACATTTACTTTTTTGCTTCAAAATACTTATTAGATTTTACAAAAAAAGAATTATTAAATATAATTTTGTTTGCCATAAAAGAGTCATTTATCTCAATTTTAAACGAAGAATTCGCACTTTAAAATGAGCACACTAGATTTATCTGTATTGGTTTCTATAAGTGAAGTTCAAATCAGTAGCTAGGATCGGGGAATTATCGCAAAATTTGCCGTATGTTACGAAAAACCCCGAAAACTTGAAGCCTTCTTTAGTGTTTCCCATCATTCAGTCGGTGTTAAATTGAAGTAAGTGTTGATTCATTAGAATTAATCGTTGAGTTAATAAATAAACGTTAGTGTTGATTTGTGAGTGAAATAGTTAGAATTAATCATTGAGTTTATAAATATACTCAAGTGTTGATTTGTGAGTGAAATTGTTAGGATTAATTGTTGAGTTAATAAATATACTTATAATATATTGTTAATATATTATCAATTGGTGAGTAGTCCATTTTATTTATAGAAGCATTCAATTATACAGAAATTTCTGTCAAGTAAAAAAAAAAAGAGATAATGCAATAGGATAGGGCGGGGCACAAAGGTCCAATTTGACTTGGAGCAATTATATTGTAAAAATCAAACCAATTATCACAACACATATCAAACAAACAACTATCTGACTATGTTCAGGAAAACTTCCTGCTAATTCATCATTGTAGAAATGTGTCTTTTGTTTTTCAAATATTCGTAACCTGGTTCTTTTTACTTTAATAGCGGAGTGAATTGGGACTGCCGTTGAGTAAACAGGTCCAATGATTTAATTTTATTTTGAAGAAATTTTACGAAATAATAGCTACAATATTCAATCAATACAAAAAATAAATTTTATGGGTTAAATTTTTATAGAGAACACTTTAAATAACCTTTGTATGGTTTTTGTTAGAAATATTCACTAGCAAAGTTGAATTAACTATTCATTTAATTTAACTCTTGTTGAATTAAAAAATTGCTTTTATAACTTAATTTACTATTTTATTTTTTATACCTTTTCCAGAGTAAAGTTTCAGTCGTTTTTTTTACCCACGCAGGTATAAGCTTTTATAGAGGTTGTATAAAAAAGACTGTTGACCATTAATATTTTTCCTCTGCGTATACGTTTCTTCTGCCATATTTAAATATTTTTAACACATATTTTCAAACAGTTTTATAATATTTTTTAGCTCACAATAAAATGAGTGGAACAAGTAAGAGAAAAACTCGTCAATATTCGAACAAATATTTAAAAGCGGATACCCTTTTGTCTTATGTCATCAGTGTTTGAGCAACGAATCAATGAAACCAGGTCGTCTTGAGGCACATTTGAAGACAAAACATCGTGATCATGTAAATTCAGATTTGAATTATTTTAAAACTTTAAAAGGAAAGTTTGAGAAAAGAACATCATTGCCGTCTCTATTTACTGCACGATCTTCAACAAACAGTCGTCTTCTTGAGGCGAGTTATCAAATTTCATTATTAATTTGCAAAAGTGGAAAAAAACACACTATAAGAGAAAATTTGATGAAACTATGGCGGAATACATTATGTTTCATGACAGGATGACACCAATGTGATGACAAAACTACACAGCATACTTTGGGCTACGCTGATGCGAATGTCGCATCTAGCAAGCTTTGGCTAGATTATTGTTTTTTCACGATCGAAAAATGGTCTCGCGGTTTTTGATCATCGATCAATTTTCGGGCTAAAAATTGATATCAAAATTTATATAATATCAGTTTCATTGTAAATTGAGTTATGAATAAACTCACATTATCAACGAGTCTACATCAGTTAAATGCGGTTAATTTCAAGATATAATTAATTAATAATAAATGGCCCACTAGCGCCATAAAACCATTAATTTCAGCATTTCTTAAAACAGTTTTAGAAAAAGATGGCACAGAAGTGAAAGCACCTCAGTAATAATGCTGCTTGCAGAAGGATAGACGAAATGAGTGACGATATTGAAAACCAATTAATTGATAAGTTAAAAACCAGACATTTTTCAATACAAATAGATGAATCGACCTTGAGAGACAGTGGGGCTGTATTGCTGGCATATGTACAATTTATTGATGCAGGGCAATTTTCTGAAGAAATGTTATTCTGCGAAAGACTGGAAGACACTACTAAATCCCAAGACATATATAATAAGTTAACAAACTATTTAGAATTGAAGAACATATCTATGAAAAATATAACATCTTGTGCTGTTGATGGTGCTCCTAACATGATGGGCAAGAAAAATGGCTGCTTGAAATTGATTAAAGATATAAATCCTGAAATGGTTATTGTGCATTGTGTAAATCATAAGGAACACTTAGTTGTAAAAAATATCTCGCCTGTTCTAAATGAGGTATTACATGCAGTTATAAAATGCATTAATGCTATTAAAGCCAGTGCCAAATCTGAACGTCTTTTTAGGCTGTTTTGTGAAGAGCAAAATGAAAGCTATGTGAGACTTTTGCTTCATACTGAAGTAAGATGGCTTTCCAAAGGAAATTGCTTAAATAGATTTATGCAACTCTTCGATGTTTTAAGTGAATTTTTAAATGACAAACCTGAAATGAAGATTTTATTAACTATCGATGGTAAAGCGTTTGTAAGTTATTTAACAGATATATTTGAAAAATTAAATATATTAAATAAACAACTCCAAGGACCAAATAAAACACTTGTCGATGCGAAAGCGAAGATATTTGGTTTCATTACAAATATTGAATTGTATATAAAACAAGTTAGCAACAGAAATTTCTTGGAATAAATATTTATAATAAAGTAAACGAATAGCTCAAAGCACAAAGATTAAAATGGGAAAAGTGCAATTTGGTGTCTTTGGATAAAGCTTCAGCTATGCTGGGTCATATTTATGGTTTTTCAGTTTTTGTAAGGGGAAATAACCCACACTCATGATGTTATCAAGATTATAAATTTTATCAAGGGACATGCACTAAATACGCGGCTATTTTGTGAATTATGTCAGGATAGTGAAGCTGAGACCTGCCTCCCTTATTATACAGAAGTAAGATAGCTCTCTCGCGGTAATATTTTAAATTGAGTATGGACTCTTAAAAATGAAGCTGAAATCTCTAGGGTTTTTCAAAAAAATATTGTTGCTGAAAATTTTAAAAACTCTTCCTCAGTGGCATATTTCGCATATTTAGCAGACATTTTTGAGAGCATAAATATATTAAAGAATTACACGAAAAGCATATTAATACTTTTTCAGCGAATATTGGAGGCAGAAAGTAGAAGAGAACAAGATAGCATCTTTTCCAAGGTTAGCTTTGTTTTTGGAGAATTGTAAAAAAATTACTTCACCTGGTAGAACTTTCCAGATCTGGATACACGTATTGTGAGTGGATTGTAGATCTTTTTAAATGTGAAACTTTCATGATACCGGAAAAACCAGCAGGTTTGGCAGAATCAATTCTGGAAATTCGTTTAAATACCGAAGCACGTATTGAATTTGGAAGTGAACAAAATCTGTCATGTTTTTGGATGTCAAAAGCTGCAAAGAGTTTTGAAATAGCACATGAAGAAGCGGTGAGAAAAATGCTGCCATTTGGAACCACATATTTGTGCAAAACTTTTCCAGTCTGATAAACATAAAATCGAGGAGAAATAGATTGAATGCCGAAGATTGTATTAAAATTGCTCTGACATGTTTAAAGTCCGGATTTTGAAGAAATTGTGTCAAAGATGAAGCAATACAATTTCTCCAAATCGTAATGTTCTTACATTACATGTATGCGTGTTTATTGTCACTTGTGGCATTAGTTATAGTAATGGGCCAAACATCAAAAATGAAAATTTTTCCATTTCTTCACGTATCAGAGTTTTTGAACATTTTTGCCATACCTCAGAAAAAATGGATGTATGTGTGTGTTTTGTGTGTCCGCATTTTTTCGTTCAGGTTTTCGGGCGCACGGATTAACCGATTTGAATGGTTTATTCAACATTCGGTTCCTATTGATGCGGAGATATGCTGATTAGTATTTGGCAAAGGCAGGACCAGCCGTTACGAAGATACGGAGTAAAGAGTGCAGAAAATAGAAATCAAGTTTTTTAGAGAACGGAGTGTCGCATTTGAGTGATCAAAAAACATTCAATTTGTAATGATTGGAAGAAGTAGTGCTTAGGTTTTGGCAAAGACACGTCCAGTCATGCCGAAGATACAGAGCTAAATGTGCAAAAAATGGCTGTTTTTGAGAGAACTAAGCGTCCGATTTAAATGATTCAAAGAACTTTCTGCTTGTCTTAACAAAATAATTGATTTTGGAAAAAAAAAATTGTTCCAATTTTGTTCCAATTTTTTTTTTTTTTTTTTTGTATATCGAAATTATTTCAGATTTTATTTTTAATTCTGACTATAGTTCTAATATACTTTACAAATAATTTCAACTCTGCAATTCAGTTTATATAATTCTTATAAATATTAGACAATGTTACAATATTTATAATAATCTATTTGAAAACATTCAGTATTCCACGAACATTTCGTTACGGTACGGGAAGTTCCAGCAATTTGCCATAATTGCCTCAAGACAATTCCACTTACAGCTAGTTTACATTATCTATGGTACCTACACTCTCAGTAACGTGATCTTTGTTGTATGTACACTTTTGTTGTTTGGATTCGAAAGCCATTTATCGTTTGGAGCTCTGTGATATTTATATTTGTTGTGCGCTGCAGTAATTTACAACTGAAATTATAATCCGCTGAAAAAATTTTTTGTGCTAAATCAGGTAATTATTTACAAATCAATTGGTATAGCTAGTAGTTTCTGCTTGTATTTTTAAAAGTATTTTATTTATTGATTTAGATTAGATGCCAGCCCTAAATCCTACAGAAGAATAAAGTGTTTCTTTTTTTCTATTTCAAGTGTTACGATTTCGAACAAGATGAGTAATATAAGTTCTGATGAAGATACAAGAAGACTACAGGCTAAAAAGCCGAAACTTTATGCACGTAGAAAGCAAAAATTTTTGAGAGAATGGGTGAATGATACCAAGTTCAACACGTGGTTAATGCCAGATGTATCAGACAAGTTTAAAGCTAGATGCAGATTATGTAATACATCCTTCACTGCTGAGCTCACGGTAATTAAAAATCATGGCAAATCTAAAAGTCATTTGTCATCAATCACTTCGGCTTCGAATCAAAAATCAATTCAATCATTTACTCAAAAAAAAAAGTGGAAACATCATTTGATAACAAAGCAACACGTGCAGAAATAAAACTTTGTGAATTTCTAGCTGAGCACAATCTTCCTTTTCGGTTAATGGACCACCTGACACCTCTTTTAAAAGATTGCTTTCCAGATTCAAAAATTTGCCCAGGATTTGAGGTTAAAATCATCAAAGTCTGCTGCTGTAGTGTCAAACGTAATTGGAGCAACTGAAAAAGAAGATTTATCTATAAAGATAAGAAATGTATTATTTAGTGTTCTAAATGACGAGTCAACTGACATTTCTAGGACACAAAAATTTATGCATTATTGTTAAAAATCTTTTCAAAAATACTCAGTTCCACTCACAAATATCATAGGGTTTGGATCAGATGGGTGTGATACTATGATGGGGGATAAAAATCAGTAAGAACACGATTAGCAGAGATGTCCTGGAATTTACATAATGAAATGCCTGTGTCACTCATTACATCTCTGCGCAAGTAATGCTTGTTCTGAATTACCCCCAGAATGTGAAAAATTACCACAGCTGGTTCATAATCATTTTTCAGTGAGCTCAAAACGCCAATATACATACAAGAATTCAATCGATTTGGATTTGAAACAGCATAAAGTTTTACAACCTGCTCAGACCCGCTGGTTATCATGGTTATTATGGTGGTAGAACGAGTGGGAGGCATTAATTTTATATTTCAATCAATTAAATTATAAAGAGGAATACAGGAAGATGAGTAAAAGGAGGAAAGATGATAGTGATGGAACAGATGAAAATGAATCTGAAGTTGCAAGAATACTTCAATACTTGCGAAATCCCATAATAAAGCCTTACTATCATTTTTTATTATGGATTTTACCTAACTTCACGAATTTAAACAAGTTATTCCAGTCCGAAAACCCTATTATTATGTCAGTTCATAAGAAAAGTAGTGTGACATATTTGGATTTATTAAAAACATATATGAATGATGACTACGTAAATAAAACACCCATATATAATATTAAACCATCGGATCAGACTAAATAAGAATATTCAAAATATTTATGTTGGAGTAGAAGTTTTTAAATATTTTAACGAAGCAGACTTTTCAAAACATCCTCGTTTACAAGAAAAATTGCATTTTCTTGCAAAATTCAGGAAGTTTATAATTCGAAGATGTGAAGAAATAAAAAAACGATTCGATTTCAATGATACTATATTGAAAAATTTATCAGTAAAGGATCCTGCGGACGCAATGAATGGTAAAACAGTAATCACTACGCCAAGTTTGCTACCATTATTGAGTAAACTGCCGCGATTATTAAACCCAAGTCAAAGTCAAATTATTGATAATGAATGGCGAAGATTCCATTATTTTGAATTGCCGGATGACATTAGTAAAATTTTAATTTCAATCAATCAATCATCAATCGAAAATTATTTATTTATTTATTTACAAAAGATAAGGAAGAGGTTTGGAGTTTTTGGATTAATAAAATGCCAAACACGCAACAAATTGGTAACTAATACACTTAACGGGCTATTGTTAAGAAGTCAGCGAATCAACCATAACTGCGTTGGTTACGAACCATCTAAAGATGAATTTTGTAAAATGAAGAAATCTTTATATGCTACTTCCACAAGCAATAGTGAAAGCCACTCTATTGATACTAATACCAGTGATGCTGACCAACCAAACGTCGATCTGGATGACATATCATATTTTAGTTAAAAAAAATTGTATTTGTTGTATATAATATTATATATAAGATTTATACTGTATAAATGTCATTTAATAAATAAAAAAGTAAATCGTCTAATTTTAATTTTAACAAACGTCAAAAAAACTACTCATTTTCTCCAACTTTGATGAATTTTTAAAATTAAACTACTTGTCGTAAGGCCGTATTATTTCAGTAAGTTCTATAAGACCATGATATATATCGCCAAAAAAATTCCATAAAATCGATTTTAATTTTTTTGCAACAATTAATTACAAGAAAACGGTTCGATAGATTTTCACCTAAAACTAAATGTAGCACCAACTAAAACTAATCCGTATCATTGCCAAATAATATCTTTTAAAAATTTTTGATTTTTAAAATCGATTCGGTAGTATGAGCTTAAATATAGACGAAAAGTTTAACAATTTTTTCCAAATTACAAAGAAATGGCTCGGCCGATTGCTGCACAAAACTAAGAAAAGATAATCCACATTAAAATACTTTGATTGGCTTTTAAATTTTTGACATTTGTTCAGGCGTTTTTGAGCAAGCGTCGAGGAAAGTTATAATTTTGACAAAAGCCAAAAAAATTACACTAATTTTTGCAAACTTTTGGTCGATTTTTTTAAATTAAACGACTTGCCGTAGGACCCTAATATTTCAGTATGACCTATAAGACTGTAGAGACCCTGCAATTGACCACCATAGGAATGGTGGTAATGGCCAATAGAAAACATCCAAGTGATTAAGGTTAGGGTATATAACTTAACTTAGACCCATGATCGAATACCTATTCACTTATCACTTGTATTGTAACAATATTACATTCCGCCGCGCATTGCAGAAATCGTATTGTTTAAATTCAAAGGTA